GGTTCAGGTCCCCTCGAGTAGAAAGGCTGGGATCTGCCCTAGAAGAGGCTACTGCTGCTGTCACGTGGTCCATCTTCAAGGTGAGAGCAGATGAAGGGGCTGTGCTACCCAGAGTCCCACGCACATCTCCTATCTTTGGTACCAAAGATAAATTAGGATCCTGAAACGTGAAGGAGGGAAAGGGCCCCAGCAGGGAAATAAAGGTTTCTCCTCAGGAGAATCCAGTGCCATTTACTGATTTGTTCTTTATCTTTATTGGATGCACGTTTATTTATTTATTTATTTTTTATTTTTTTTGAGACAGAGTCTCAAGCTATCACCTAGGGTAGATTGCTGTGGCATCACAGCTCACAGCAGCCTCCAACTCTTGAGTTTAAGCCAGTGGTTCTCAACCTTCCTAATGCTGTGACCCTTTAATACAGTTCCTATTTATTTTTTTAGTTTTTTTGAGACAGAGTCTCAAGCTGTCACCCACGGTAGAGTGCTGCGACATCACAGCTCACAGCAGCCTCCAACTCTTGGGCTTAAGCCAGTGGTTCTCAACCTTCCTAATGCTGTGACCCTTTAATACAGTTCCTATTTATTTATTTATTTATTTTTTTTGAGACAGAGTCTCAAGCTGTCACCAGGGTAGATTGCCGTGGCATCACAGCTCACAGCAGCCTCCAACTCTTGGGCTTAAGCCAGTGGTTCTCAACCTTCCTAATGCTGTGACCCTTTAATACAGTTCCTGTGGGTTGCAACCCACAGGTTGAGAAATGCTGGCTTAAGCGATTCTCCTGCCTCAGCTTCCCAAGTAGCTGGGACTACAGGCATCCGCCATAACACCCAGCTATTTTTTGGTTGTGGTTGTCGTTGTTGTTTGGCAGGCCTGGGCTGGATTCGAACCCATCAGCTCAGGCATATGTGGCTGGCACCCTAGCTGTCTGAGCTTCAGGCGCCAAGCCTGGATGCATGTTTACTGAGTGTCTAGGGTTCACCGGGTATTATATCAGGGGCTCTGGATATATAACTGAAAATGAAAGAAAGTCTCTGCCTTTAAGGGGTCCCGAGGGAAAGGCAGTAATGATGATGCCAAAGTGTATGAGGCTAAAGAGATGTAGGTGTACAATGCCACGGGGTCGGCGGGAAGGGATTCCTAATTCTGACTAGATGTGTCGGAAAAGCAGTGCTCTGTGGAGTAATGAGAGATGCACAGAAAGTCAATTAAGAAAGCTGGACACGGTGGCTCATGCCTGTGATCCCAGCACTCTGGGAGGCTGAGGTGGGAGGATCACTTGAGCTCAGAAGTTTGAGACCAGCCTGAGCAAGAGTGAGACACTTTCTCTAAAATAGCTCAGGGTTGTGGCAGGTGACTGTAGTCCTGGCAGCTCAAGAAAAAGAAAAAAAAGAAGAAAATTAAAAGACAGCCATCCCCTAAATGGAGGATGATGTCTTGTGGACAAAAGGTATAGTTGGGATACTGGAACAGAGGAGAGGAGCCAGGGATAAGGTCCAAATATGAGGGCCTTTGGGGCCGAGGAATTATCACATTTTTTTGAGACAGAGTCTCAAGCTATCACCCTGGGGAGAGTGCTGTGGCATCATAACTCATAGCAACCACAAACTCTTGGGCTCAAGCGATCCTCTTGTCTCATCCTCCCAAATAGCTGGGGCTACAGGTGCCTGCCACAATGCCAGGCTACTTTTTGTTGTTGTTGTTTTAATTGCCATTGTTGTTTTAGCTGGCCCAGGCCAGGTTTGAACCTGCCACCTCGGTGTATGTGGCTGGTGCCCTACCCACTGAGCTACAGGTGCCGCCCAAGAATTATTACTTATTAAGTGTCCACTATCAGCAAAGCGCTATACTTAGTATTTGTTTCATAGGTAAGACATGCCTCCCCTTGACAGATAAAAAGTAGAAACTTTAAAGAGGAACACATTTTCCCAATGTCATGTGGCAATCATTGGTGCACCCAGGTCCACCAGCCTCCATCATATGAAGAATTACTCTCACCAAAAAATATTTAGCCATGTCAAGACT